CCCCTAGACAACAGTCGCTGACGGACTCTGAGATGTGAGGTGATGGCCGTGGCTGAGGCTAACTGGTGTTGACGAAGTTGTGGCGTTGCGGGGACCCGGACGGTGGTGAAGGAAGACGAGAGTAGCGGTGACAGATCCCTGCAGCAGGCTTCTGGTGACGGTAAGTAGAGTTAGAGAGCGGACAACGGTGAGAGCAGGGGCTGAAAACGGCTGCTTAGAGGGTCTAGTGTGAAGTAGGCGTCAGCGGCGTAGGTGTCGGAACGGTGGTGCGTCGGAGGCGCAATCTGCTGACGTGCTGGTAGAGTCAGGGTGGTAAAGGGGTGGACCCCGCGCCAACCCGGGCAAGTGCTGACAGCAATCTTGATAGTATGAAATCCAAAGGTTGGTCGGGTGTACTGACCGGCGACGGTTGTCAGCGTGGAGTCGGCAATCTTATGAGAAAAGGTGACACGTATGTGGTGTCTGTAAACGACGCGTAATGACGGCTGCATACAACGTTAGGAGTTAGGTGCCGCGACTCGGTACATTTTTACGAGGAAACTCGCTGGCTCCCCGCCCAAGCTCAGAAGGAAGAAAGCAGAGTCCCAGCATTCGGACCTGCTCGCCCCTCAAACCCGACCGCCTAGCCTTACACAAGACAAAACGTCGAGAATTCGGCAACACCGAAAGGCCTCAGTTTCGTTCTGGAGAGCGATTTGTTTCAAGAGTCTCCGTGCACGAGCAGAGGGGCGGCGCACCACGAAGATTCTAGTTGTAGATTTTCTAACATTGTTTATAAAATATTGAAATATTACTCTTATATCTTTGAAACCAGCACGTGACGTTTTATAGTCCAAGTACATTTAGCCGGTCTCTTAAGTTTGGTTTTTTCCAGATAAAAAAATTTTTACCCTACCGTCGGCACCCAAGGCGTGTGTTTCTCTAACCACAAGAAGGGGTGGAAGGGAAGTTGAGCATTCGAATTTATGGCTCAAAAATTCAGTTCATGCAAAACGTGAAGAAGTTCAGGCGAAATACTTCTTGCTCTTTCAAAAACAAGCTCAATTACATCCAGATCGAACTTGGTGGAACTTTTTGAATTAAAAAGTAAATTCTTTCACCGAGGAAGTCACCTCTTCAGAAGATATTTAAGACTGTTTCTTTGAGTTCAAAACGTTGATGTATGACGATTATAAAAAAAGACCAATTTTTTACAGAACCTGAAGAACATAGAAGCTGAACTTTAAGGAACAAGTTGGAAGAGGCGTTAGTAGAGAAAAAGGAGCGAGTCTTGTAGCATGGCGACAACCGCGATGTTGAAGCTTACGAGTTTTAATACGTTAGATGAGCGAAGTGAAATGTGATCCATCTAGTCGGCTTTACCAGGAATGTTTAAATAAAATGAATCGCCCAAGAACAGAATTCGTAGAAGAACATGTATAGCTGCATTTTTTAAACCGCAACGCACAAAGGGACGCTGCAAAATATCGATGCGCAGTCGAGTTAGTCTTATTTCCATGTCTGGTGTTCAAGAGGATCGAAAGTAGAGAGGCGACAACGGTGGAGCAGGTAACGGCTGCGGTGGTGAAGGCGGCAGCGGTGGTGTGTGGATGGTGGCGTCGGAGGCCATGATGCTGACGGTGGTGGTGGTGGTGACGGCGGCAATGCTGACAGCAATTGGTGGTGGTGTCGGTGGCGACGGCGACGGTGTGGCGTGGAGTCGGCAGTCTTATGAGAAAAGGTGACCGTTGTGGCGTAACGACCGTAATGACGGCTGCGGTGGGAGAGGTGAGCGCTCGGGTACATTTTTACGGACGCGCTGGTCCCCGCGGACTCAGTCCCAGCATTCGGACCTGTCGCCTACCCGCGCCGCCACCAACACAAAGCGTCGAGAATTCGGCAACGCGCGAAGGCCTTAGTTCTTCTGGAGGCGATTTTTCAAGTCGTGCCGGAGCGAGGTCGGCCTTACGAATTTCTATTTGTAGATTTTATGTTTATAAAATATTGAATATTTTATCTTTGAAACCAGCCGTACTTTATTGTCCAAGTACATTCGTTCTAAGTTTGTTTTTTCAGTAAAAATTTTACCCTACTCGGAAAGGGGTGTTTCCTAACAAGAAGGGGGTGGAAGGGAGTTAGCATTCGAATTTTCTCATTCGTATGAAGGAGTTCAGCGTACTCTTGTCTTTCAAACAAGCTCAATTACATCCAGTCGAACTTGGTGGCTTTTGAATTAAAGTAAATTCTTTCACCGAGGAAGTCTACCTCTCAGAAAATTTGAAGACTGTTATCTTTGAGTTCAAAACGTTGATGTATACGATTATAAAAGAAAGACCATTTTTACAGAACCTGAAGAACATAAGAAGCTGAAACTTTAAGAACAAGTGAAGAGCTTAGTAGAAAAAGGAGCTCTTGTACATGGGACAAGTGTTGAGTTACGAGTTTAGTTAATAAGTAAATTATTTCGAGTTTTACCAGAATTTTAATAAAATAATCGCAAACAATATGTTAAGAACATTATGCAGCATTTTTTTTTAACCGCACGCACAAGGACGCTGCAAATATCGATGGCAGTCGATTACTTTATTTTTATTGGTGTTAAGGATCCATGGGAGTGCTTCTCCAAAGCTCCAATGGTGCTTCAGAAAAGTGTCCAAATGTGGAAGTCGCGACTGCGCCGCGTGGGCGCCGAGGCACATGCGCGAGAAGTGCCTCGGCGCGGAAGAGGAGGACAACGCCTGCGCCTCCGTCCTCCCAACCACCAACCTCTCCACGTACTCCACCCCCAACCAACACTACCTGCCACCACACGTCCCATCAGACTCAACAACCCACAAACCCCAACAGACCCATCAATCCCACCAGCCCCACACT